CGGCGGGGAGGGGTCTGCCGACCCGCTTCACCTGCCGCAGAGGGGGCGGCCGGCGCCGCGTTCACCTGCCGGAGCGGGAGCGACCAAGGCAAGGAAGAAGCGGCGGCGCGCTCGGCGGCGTCTCCGGGTCCTAGAGCCGCAGGCTCCAGCTCGCTCGGAGCCGGGGGGCTGGCGGGGTCTAGCTGAAGAGGGTCAAGGCCCGAGGGACAGAGGGGACATTTCTCGGAGTCGAGGACTGCCAGCACCTGCGAGGGCGGCTTGGAGACCCATGATGATGCGGCGTTGGAGCGCAAGGGCTGCTTCCCCGTCTCGGATTCCTGACAGAGAAGGTGGGAACCCCCTTCCAGGCCCCCCAACCCCTTGTTTCTCTCCTCTGTTTAGCCCAGAACCGAGCTGAGGACTAGAGGGAACCATCAGCAAATGAGAATCCCAAAGCAGGGCAGAGGGCGCAGATCCAGGCCAGCGGAGACCCCCGTGACCAGTTCCACTCTGGAACAACTCTGTGCCTGGGCCGGCATCTCCAGTGCTTTTAGAATGGGGTCTCCCATGGGAAAAGGCAGGCTCCGAGAATCCGGGACCACCAAGGCAGTCTCAAAGAGGAACACAGGGGTTGGGGAATGGAGGATTAAAGCCAGCATCCACGCCAGGGAAAGGAGCAGGCACCACAGAGGGGAAGCAAATCTCCTTGACGCTATCACCTCCAGGGAGCTAGAGTGGCCTCTCGCCTTGGAGAACCACAATCTCTGATGTCTGGGAATTGCAGAAATACTTCCAGATGCCTTCTTTCATTCATCCTGACAATGACCAGGGAAGGTAGGTATTGATATCGTCATTTTAGAGATGGGGAAACTGAGACTCAGAGTGGCTAACTTGAGTGACATGCCCAAGGGCACACAGCTGATAAAGGGCAAAAACAGGCCTCCTTCAGAATCTACACTGCCCTGGGGCTGCTGTCCTGGCCTCCCACTGACCCTCTCAATCAGGAAGGACCAAAGGATGAAAGAGTATTGGGGCAAGGGGCAATAGAACCCCAATTCTGGGCACAATCTTCAGCCTGAATTTGAGGCTTTTCTCTTTCAGTTGTTTCTCTCGCTCCCCATTTCATTTGTGGGGATCCCCAGTTGGTCCCTCCTTACACTATCAAGGCATTGAGGAGAGAGGGCCCATTAATGAGCCCTAGATTTTCTCTAGGCTAGGCCAGGGCCATAAGTGTCCCCTCCCCTTATAACTTCCTCTTCCTTCTGCCCTCCCTTTCAAACTCAGAACCACAGACAAGAGTCTAAGCAGGAGCTGGGAAGTTTATATCTAACTTTTAAAAATCTAATCTTAAAGAAGGCCCTAGAATGAGCCAGCCCCTTTCCCCAGTCTGACCTGATTTAAGCCTTTCTTCTGCCAAGGTAACCAGCAACTCTGACAGGTGAGAGATTTTGTCACTTATTTCGTGTCCCAGCCAGGGACCATAAGGTAAGACAAAGCAGGATTCGCCTTGGGTGGGTGAAGAAGGTGGTCCATTCCATGCCCACTGCCCTCACCTCTAGCCTAGAGCAGATCGAAATCTTGCCCTTGGGTTTCTGCCCTTGGGTTCTTGCCCTTGAGATTAGCTATGTCCTCTCTTTTTCTTCCTTCTTTCCTTCCTTCCTTCCTTCCTTTTTTTAAAAAAAATTTAGTCCTTGACCTCCTCAGTGGCTGTCTCTTTCCATTTAATAAACCTTTACTTGGCACCAGCTGTGTACCCAGCACTGTGCTCACTCCTGGAGATTCTATGACAGATGAGAAGAGTCTCTGTCCTTGGGCTGCTCACAGTCTAGAAAGGGATGGAGTCTAAACATATCTAGGAGGGTGGCTGCTACTAGTTAGCCTGTGGTACCAGGTGTTCATGCTTCCTTTTGCCCAGAACTACTTCTTTAAGTGGGTAGGGCAAGGGTGGGAGTTGTGCCCAGCAGCTGAAAACCCGAGTGGGTTAGGTAGCCTCTAATGTAGTAGTATCCTCAATCCTTGGGGGTGTTCAGGCCATTGCCGCCCACCACCCACCCAAGGCCTGATGAAAATAAGCCTGCTCTAAGTAGGACCTCTTGTGTGGAAAATGATCAACTTAGCAAGCCTACATTATCTCTCTCTCATGTAAGACACCCAAAACAAGGGAAAGGAGGAAAATTAATCAATTATTACCTAATAGATTTGGTTGGCTTGGCAGGAAGTATCTTTCCAATCGTGGTCCACGAAGGAGGAAATCCTAGAAGGGATGCTTGATGAAATTTGGGACCAATGCCTTGGTGGGTCTGTGCTTCCCCCTGCTGGGCACAGAAGGTATGACAGCCAAGACAGGGCGAGGCCTCCAGCAATGATAGAGATGGAGTCATAGCGTGGGTGACATTTCTGAACTGTTGTCACTTTGTCACCTCCAATGGAATGATTATGTAGTCACTGGACACACTCAGAGCTCAGGTAACTGAGCAGGTTTCCCCAGGAATCTCTTCCCTCCTCCTCCCTGCTCACCTTTACTCACTTGCTGCCTCAATTTTTTTTAAAGGTAATAATACATGTGCACAATTAAAAACAAAAAGTTTTAATGTATCTTTCCCAGAGATATTTTTGGATATATACAAGCAGTGTGTGTGTGTATGCACGCGCGTGTGTGTTTAACACAAATGGTAGCACATACTCCACACCGTTTGGCACCTTGCTATTTTCATTTATATTTGTCTCTCAAAATCTATATAGTCTTCCATCATCTGGTTGTGCCACAGTTCATTTCACTATTCCCCTCGTAGTGGACATTAAGGTTGTGTCAGCCTTTTGTTATTATAAACAATGGTGCCTTCAGGAAATATCTTTGTACATATATTTGTTTGCACTTATGTATATATCCGTAAGACAAACTTATAAATATGACTTTGTTGGGTCAAAGGTTATATGCTTTTAAATTTTGTATAGATTTTCACTGGAATTTGGATAGATTTGGAATTGCCTTCCAAAAAGTTTGCACCAATTTGCAACCTCCAACAATGAATGAGATTGCCTGTTTCCCCCATCCTAACAGAGGGTATTGTCAGGCCTTTGAGGTTTTGGTGAAGCCTCTTTGAAAGTCTTTGTCACAAGGCAGATGATGATTTTCCTCTTTCTTCAAGGCAAAGACGGTGTCTTTTCTGTCCCTGTTTCCCCAGCACAGGACTTGAATATTGAATGACAGAAAAAGGGACTCCATTTTGGTAGGCCTGGAGGGAGAAGTAAAGGGTTAGAGTTAAGGATGAAGCATGGCTTTAAGGGCCACTCTTGTTTGCAGGCCCCAGTCAAGCCTCTGCCCCAAATCCAAAGCCCTCCCCTTGTAGAAGCCTCCCAGATTTTGTGATCTGAGATCGGAGGCCCAGCATCCCCTGGGCAGCTCTCCCTCAGCTCTCATGCATCCCAGGGATGGGCCTCATCATCCCTGAGCTGCCGAAAGATTGGAAATAAGTCAGATGTTCAGCTATAGGGGATCGGTTAAACCAGCAATCCAATAGAACTTTCTACAATGATGGAAGTGTTCTCTATCTTTGCTGGCCAATATCGTAGCCACTAGCTACATGTAGCTACTAAGTACTCGAAAGGTGCAACTGAAGAAATGAATTTCAGGTTTTACTTATTTGTAGTTAAGTTACATGTAAATTGCCACATGTGGCTACTATACTGGACAGTGAAGAGTTAAATAAACTATGGCATAATGGTATATCCCCACAATGGAAAACTATGACACTATAAAAAAAAAATGAGGATGCCAGGTACTGATATGGAAATATCTTCAGGATATATTTTGAAGCAAAAATATGGTGCAGAACAGTATATATATAGTATGTTCACTTTTGTGTAAGAAAGGGAGGTGGAAATAAGAATAAATGTTTGCATTTACTTGAATTTACATAAGGAAGGTAATAAAAGTAGTAACCCATAAGATTCTGGAGAAACCTGGTGGACCAGGCAGAGGTGGGAGCAAGACTTCTCAGTGCATTTCTCTCTATATCATTTTGATTTTTGAAGCACATGCTTTTATTGCCTATTCAAAAAATTAAGGGAAAATAAAAGCAAGTTGCTTGCTGCCTACCAAGGAGGGCTGCTCTGTCCCTCTTGGTGGCAACTTGTACACCAGTGAGGGAAGTAACCCCACTACACCAACCTTTCTAAGTGACCCACCAGAGGACAGCCCAGGGGAGTGAGATATACAATGCCTTGTGAGCCACAACCCTGGTGCAAAGGTGCCCAAACATGGCTGTGCATCAGAATCGGGATCTTGGGGGGAGTAGGATCAGGGATCTGGGATCTTGGGGGAGGTAGAATCAGGGATCTGTGCCTTTTATGGTCTACCAGCTAACTCTCAGGCGGACACTGAACTATCCTTGTCAGTACTTCCCAGTGAACAGAGGACAAGCCCCTAGTACCAGGCCCACGTCCCTTCCCTGAAGAAATGGTCACTGATGTCTTCCAAACACCAACACCATGGCAGGCGCAGAGGCAGTCGCTTTCTATGTGCCATTCAAAACTGAAGAGCAGCCCTGCAAGGCAGATGTAGTTGCCATGCTCTCCAAGCTCAGTGTCCTCCTGAGTGACTGATTTACTCAAGGTCACACAGCTGGTCATGTCACAGCTAGGATCCAAACGCAGTAATAAACCCCCTGAGCCTCAGGTTTCTCATTTTGAAAAAATGGTGATAGGATTTCATAGAATTTTTGAATATTAAATAAAATTTCAAGTAAAGGGCTAACAGACTTTTGTTTCCAACAATAACGTGGGTTGTATGTCCAGAGAAACCCTTCTGGTACAAAACAGCTAGAAGTGATAGAAAACTAGATAAAAGATAAAGTGTGTGTGTGTGTGTGTTATTTTCAATGCAAAGCTGAGCTATCAAGAAAAGAAAAATCCCTAAGAGACACAAACCCAAAAAGGAACAAGACAAAAGCTGGGGCTTCTTAAGATAGAAGGTTGGATCAGAGATACTCTGCCCTCACAAAAAGTGAAAGGTGCCCAAAAGGTGATATCCTTGGATAAACTTGATTTTTAAAAAAAAATCCACCTTGCAGAGAGAGATGGTAGGATACTTGCCTGCCTAAATTTATCAAGAAGATATAACCATTCAACAATTGTAAGCACTTGATAACATAGCTTCTGAATTATAAAGCAGAAATAGAGCGATAAAGAGACAAGTCCATCAATATAAAGAAGGACTTAAATCACCTCCCTCTGTAATTGGTAGTTTAATCAGACAAAAAAAATTTCTGTAAGGATGTAGAAGTTTTGAACAATACAATTGACAAGCTTAATCTAATTGAATATTTTGAATACTCCAGTGAACTATTGGAGAACACACTTTTGCTTGCAGGCACACATTTACAAAAGTGACCACATATCAGACCATAAGGCAAGTCTCAATCAATTCAAAAAAATCACTTAGACCTCATTATCTGATGGCAATATAATTAAATTAGAAATCAATCATCAAAAGACGACACAAAAAGAAAAGACACCCCATCCATTTGAAAATGTCAAAATGCACTTCTAAAAATAGATAAACAAGGTCCTACTGTATAGCACAAGGACTGATATTCAATACCTTGCAATAGCCTACAATGAAAAAGAATATGAAAAGGAATATATATATATATGTATAACTGAATCACTATGCTCTACACTAGAAATTAACACAACATTGCAAACCAACTATATTTCAATAAAAAATAAGAATGCATGTACTTCTAAATAATTCATGGGATGAAGAACTCCTAAAAGAAATTATTTAGAAGAGAATATCAAGAATATGTGTAAAGCAGATTACACTGTATAGCACAGGGAAATATACACAAAATGTTATGATAACTCACAGAGAAAAAAATGTGACAATGAGTGTGTATATGTCCATGAATGACTGAAGGATTGTGCTGAACACTGGAATTTGACACAACATTGTAAAATGATTATAAATCAATAAAAAATGTTAAAAAAAAAAAAAGAATATGTGTAAAGCCCTGAGCAAATAGTGCCCTAAGAACGGAAGTGAGAATGATGACGACGAGGATGTAGCAACACCTTGTGGGGCAGGGGTGGGGGGGTGTCTATAAGGCAAACTTGACGGTAGTCCATTCTGAGGTCAAAGGAGGTACAGTGTGAAGGGCCAAGTTTGAAGGTCACTACTGAGTCTGGGAAGGGAGGACCTAAAGGATGAATTACAAACAATAGCCCTGTGAGTTGGAGATTATTCTGGCCCCATTTTTCCTAATGAGGCCACCGAGGCTGCTCATGGGGAGGTAGCCCAGGTCACCCAGTCAGAAAATGGCATGGCCAGGATGCAAACCCAAGTTGGCCTTCTCGCTTCCTTGGTGCCCCCTTGGTGCCCCCGAGGGGACAGCCGAGGGAGGCAAGGACCAGCTTTTTGGTTAACAATAAATCTTGATCTCAGATCAAGTGTCTGAAACAGCCTGCCAAGGAGGCATCTACTCTCCTCTCAAGCTCTGGGGTGTCTGGCTGAGCTGAGAGGCCACAAACCACAGCCGTCACTTCATGGGTCTGTCCATCTGTCTGTTGCTGGGTCTCAACCAGCTCTGCTAGCCCAGCCAGAACTGAAAAACATGATCTTTCATTTCAGGGCCCTAAAGTCCACACAGACTGGGGCAGATGAGGCCCCATCCAATCAGCGGCCACACGGACTGGGCACACAAGTGTCCAGAGCTGTTGAGCTGAGAGAAGAGGCTGGGCTGAGGGAGCCACCAGGGGCACCCAGACCCACCCTCCAGGCTAGAGGTCAACTACGATGGGGAGCCTTGACCCTGGCACACAATAAGTGTTTAATGAGTGCTGACAGAAGGGACATTTTTAGAAGACCTGCTGAATACCAGTCACTGTGCCTGTGAAAGGGTCTCATTTACTTTAGTTTGATCCTCACGGTAACATGCTAAAGTTGGTATTATCATTCCTTTTTTTTTTTACAGATAAGGGGACTGGGGCTCAGAGAGATTCTGTGACTTCTTCAAGGTCAAGAGAATGGCAGAGCAGAGAAAAGAACCCAGGCCTGGGGCCCAGCTCTCCCTACCATTTCCCCCGGAACAGGGACAGCCGGTTTTGAAAGTCTCCCTCTCAGCCAGCTGACTGGGAGGTCACTGTGATGAAAGCCAAGATCAGGGCAAGGCCTTCAGCAAACAGCTGAACCGCTTTCCTCATTATTTGATAAGGATCTCTGGTGGGCCAAAAGCCTGCCAGGCACCGGGGAAGAGAGAACTAGACCCAGGCCTGCCCTGGAAAAGCTCACAGCTGCAGTGGGGGTTGTGAGGGGAGGTTCCGTGGCCACAGGGGCCATGGAAGAAGAAGCTAACCCCAGCCCCAGCCTTGACACTTGGGGGTCCGGGACAAGAAGTCAACAGGAACCCGCTTACAGTTCATCTAAATGTTTAAAAGTTATAAAGCAGGCCAACCCAGATAAATAAATTCTACCCTCTCACCCACGTAAACATACCTTCAAGAGGACCCGGCAAGCCAGGTTCAAGTCAATTCTCCAACTACAGCTCTGCACTGGAACATGACTGTTCAGGGAGAGTGCGCCTTCTCTTCCCACCCCCAGATCTGTCCTGCTCTGAGAGGAGCCACAATCACACACACACACACACACACACCAGGCTGCACAGCCAAACCCCTTCCACACCCACACCCTCCAAGCACCCTTACCCACCTGTACACAGAGGGCTGTTCACTGAGAGCTGTACTCTCTGCCCTTAGGAGATAAACCTCGGGGGGTGGCCTGTGCAGGCCCTGGAAGCAGGCTTGGGGCCCTCTGGGCAGGGAACCCCAAGATTCCAGGTACCTAGGTATAGTCAAGTCCTGGGCTATCTAATATGGTAGCCACTAGCCAGATGTAGCTAATTTCAACTATTTAAAATTAAATGAAATTTAAAATTCAGTTCCTCAGTCCTACTGAGCCACATATCAAGTGCTCCATAACCACATGTGGCTGGTGGCTAACACACTGGACAGCATAGATGGAGAATGTTTCTCTTACCACAGAAAATTCTACTGGACAGCGCTGGTCTAGAAAGTGAGGCAGGACTCCCAGCGGGCTCCTGACCCTGTGGGAGGGATACAGCTGGAGGAGGCAGAGGTGGGTCCCCCTTGCCCAGATATAAAGGCAGAGCTGCCTGAGGATGTCAGAAAATCTTCACAGAGAGGGTGTCTTTTGAGCATTTGACCAAATTAGTGGGAGAGGATGAAAAAAAGAATGTGAATGGCCTTTCAAACAGAGAGAACAGTGTGTGCATGTGCAAAGGTCCAGTGGCCACTGGAATGAGGGTCGTGGGACTAAAAGGGGGAGGGTGAGAGTCTGGGAGGATCCACAAGTCCAATCTTCAAGGTCCGGGAGGCCATGCTAAGGATATGAGACTTGAGCCAGGGGCTGATGGGGGCAGGAGGGGCAAGAGATGTTCAGCTGGGCACATCAGAAAAAGAAGGAAGAACTGAAGACCAGTTGGGGATTTCAAAACAAAACAGAACAGACCAACAGAGAGAAGCAGAGGGGAGGGAAGGGAGAAACCTTTGAGAGGGAAGACATGGCTTTGATGTAAGGGTGGAGACAGCTCATGTTTGGAAGGCAGGAGACGGAAAGATGGCAGGTCATACAGGGACAAGGACGAAGGAGGAGTTACAGATTGCAAGAGAAGTAAACAGTTCCGTTTGGAATTCCTAGAATCTGAGGGGCATTCGTTGGGCCAGTCCAGACAGGAGGGTGGACACTGGGCCAGTCTTGCCCTCCTAGGTTGGTGAAGAAGACAGGGGATGTAGAAGTCACTAGAAGGCTGAGTTCTCCCAGGGAGATGAACAAATCCAGAGACCCATCTGAGGACAAGAACTGGGAGGATGTCTTCAGTGGGCTGTGGGGAGGCCACAACAAAGACCAGGACCTGTGGATTTCCCCGGATAAACCACACTTGCTGGGCTGACACCCACAGCAGCCAGCAGGCACAGCAAGCACTTGGTCTTTTGTTGAAGAGGGAGGATGGGCGGAGACTGGGGAAGCAGGCCCCAGGAGGTTTCCGGGAGGAGGGGAGTCCAGCCATGGGAGGAGATCTAGAGGGGAGGGACCATGAAGACGACTGAGTTGGGCAATTAGGGTGTCCCTAGTGGCCTTTGAAAAGAATAATGCTTTCAACATGAACCAGTGAATTTCAAGGGCAAGTTTGGCAGTAGGAAGAAAAGAAGGGAGTGACCAGAGGGTCAGAATCTAAGCCAGTCATCAAAAGACAGGAAACACACACACATAATTATTGGTGCCATTTGTAACCTGTGTTGAAAATCTGGTTCCAGTTTTTACAGACAACTCATGGGTTAATCCTTAGAGCCTCAGGGGTTCCATGAACTCCATAAAGTGACATAAAGCGCCCCTCAAGAACATAAAATATCACTTATGTAGTATTCCCATCCGGGATGTGTAGCCTGAATCTATCCATAAGGAAACACCAGACAAACCCAAAATGAGGAATGCTCAATTAAAAGAAGAAAAGGCAGTGGGGTCTACTCTGAAAGATTGTCACGGAAGATGAAAAAAGATAAGAAATTGCTCCAGATGAAAGACGCCTGACATGACATGAAGAAACATGATAATTAAATGTAATCTGTGATCCTGGTTTGGATTCTACACTAGAGGGAAAAACTACTCTGAAGGACCCATAGTGGGGAAGAGGGTATATCTCAGTGGTAGAGTATGTACTTTGTATGCACGAGGTTCTGGGTTCAATCCCAGTACCTCCATTGAAAAATAAATAAATAGATAAACCTAATTACCTCCCCCCAAAAAACACACCCAAATTTTTTTTTAAAAATGAAATTGTGGAATTAAAAAAAAAGGACCCTATTGAATCAATTGGTAAAATTGGAATATGGACAGTAAATTAGTTGAAAGTATTGTGTCAATGTTATTCCAAAGTTGAAAAGAGTGGTTATGCAAGAGAATGTCCTTGTTCTCAGAAAATACCCACTGAAGTATGTACAGGTAAGTGGGCATGATGATTGCCACTTACTACTCTCAGTTCAGGAAATAAATAAATGTTGAATATAAATCTGTATTTCACAGAGAGTAAGAGAGGGAACAAATGAGACAAAATTTTAACAACTGGTGAATCTGGGTAAGGGGCATATGGAGGATGTTTGCATCTTCTTGCAACGCTTCTGTAAGCTTAAAATTTTTCCAAATACAAAGTTTAAAAACAATAACAACAAAACTCTACCCAAACCAGGAGCGTCCTGAAATTAGGGTCCTTTATCCTGCTCTTTTCCTCCAATGCTGGCCCTGGCCTGGAACAGGGCAGACCCTCAGTGGGTGTCCTGTATGTACGAGGCAGCATTAGAGGCGCGGGTGGCGACCCAAAGGGACGAGGCCCACCGCTTGGGGACATTCCTCGGCCCCGACATTTTCTAATCTGACAGCTGGGGCAGCCGCCAATCCAGCCAGGAGTGACTCACCCGCTGGGCTCCCTGGGCGGAGGGGGGAGCCCCACCCCGCAGGGAGGGCCCCAGCCAGCAGATGCCGCTGTTGAGCCAGCTCTGGCAAAACCTGGCAAGGGCTCAGGCGGGACCTGAAGAGGGTCAGCCCTTCAGGTGTCTTCCAGAACCCAACCAACAGGGGTCTGTAAGCAGCCTCGCTCATCCTTGCTCGGATCTAACTTCCCACTCCCAGGCCCTCAGCTTCCCCGTACCCCCTCCTCCACCTTGGATGTCCCAAAGCAACTCCCTTGGATGACGCCTGGTGGAGGAATAGAAGGGATAAGCAGGAAGAGGCTTCAGTCCTCAGCCCTAGAGTCTGAGTAGCAAGTTAATACTGTCCTTTTCTCTGCCCCATCTCCCTCTTCTCCACTTCTCCCCTCCTCCTTTCGTTCCCTGCCCCCATCCTCCTTTTCCTATTAGAGCAGCCCCAGGCTTTCAAAACAGACACACGCCTCCTCAGACCATCCCCAGCTTGCCTGGGCCTTTCTCCAGGAGTTGTTCCACCTAGATCCCAGTTCCTTCCCCTGGGTCCAGGGATCCAGGATGGAGATGAGGAGGCGGGGACAGGGTGCTGAGGCGCCCTGAAACCCTGTGTGGAAAGGAGTTGCTCTCACAGCCCCTCTGCAGTAGAGTGGACTAGGGTGGGGGTCTTCCCTGCTTGGGAGGTGGAGCTGGCTATTTACTCCAGCTCTCACGTGGCCTTCCCAGATTCAGGGTGAAAGGGGCCTAGAGAGGTCATTTTCTCCATCCCCCAGTCTCCAGAAAGGACTGTAACTGTGTTAAGTTCTCCCAATCCAATGTGTCAGTAATTCCTTTAACAGCCCTTCACTGAGCACCAGCTCTGTGCAAGGTACAAGGAGCTTTACTTCATGCCAGCACCTTAAATACTTCCTAGGACCATTGGAGACAGGCCCTATTACTTGTTACTATTATTATTGGCTTGTCCAAGGATCCACTTCAATCCAGTGCTCCTCTGTGACTCCTCCTGACTTGCCCAGTGGGGTTGATCTCATTCAGCTTTGGGGCCACCCCTGCACCCACATGATGTCTCAGTTACTGCAGTTGTCTTCACGGGTCACCCACCCCTGCCAGACCAGGTTCCAGACCACATGACTGGGGACAGTGAAGCCTGGGGGCCCTGTTCTAGCCCTTGATATGTGGCCTTGAGAAAGTTCCTTAATTTCTTCAAGTTCAGTTTTCTCATCTATAAAACAAGGTTAATGGCAGTACCCTCCTCATAAGGTTGATGTAATGGTAAAATTAGAAGATGCAAAAAAAAAAAGATGCATATAAAGTGCTTACCACAGTAAATTTAACTTAAAAAGGGAATCCTGTCCCCACCTTAATGGCTAAAGTGAAAAAAGCAGACAAGTGTTGGCCAAGATGTGGAGCAAAAGAACTCTCATACTCAAATGGTAGAGGTGGAAAACCATTTAGCAGTACCTGTTGAAGCTAATTATATGCATACAGTATGACCTAGCAATTTTAATCCTAGATATAGACCCAAGAGGAATGTGTGCACACGTACACCAAAAGACACATGAAATATTTTTCATAGCAGCACTAATCATAATCACCAAAAACTAGTAACAACCCAAATGTCCAGCAGCATAAGAATGAATTAATGCATTTTAGGGTAGTCATGCATGGAATACTACATAGCAATGGAAAAGAATGAACGACTGCTCCTCACAGCAACACAGATAAATCTCACAGACATAATGTTGGGAAAGAAACTGAGCACAAAATAGGTGTATTAGAGCATGTTTATTTTCTTAGATGATCGCAAAACAGCCAACTAATAAAAGTTAGAGGTCAGGCTAGAGGGTACCTTTGGTGATTAAAAGCGGGGCTTGGGGAGTTCTGGGATGCTGGTAGGGTTCTCTTTCTTTATTGCGTGTGGTTACACAAGTATGTTAGACTTGTGAAAATTCACTATGCTTAGAACTTATGCACTTGTACAAATGTTGTACTTCAATGAAAAGTTTACACTCATGTAAAAAAGACAAATGAATTGAGCTATTCATTCATATAAATAAATCTTAAAACATTTTAAAGCAAAAACCAAGTTATTAAAAGATTTGGGTCATGCGATTCATAGAAAAATTTTTTTTTAAATTTTAATGGAGTTACTTACTATGGATTGAACCCTGGACCTCGTGCACACTAAGCATGCACTCCACCACTGAGCTATTATATCTCCCTCCCTTTTTTTAAGATTCATAGAAATTTTAAAAGTACCTAACATTACATTTTGTTTATGCATACATACCGAGGTCATACAAATAACAGACATACAGGGAGATGATAAACACCAAATGCAGAACAGAGGTTCCATTTTAGTGAGAGAGAGG